TTTAGTATTTTAAAAAAATTCGGAATTGTTAAAAAGATATGCGAAAAAAAAACAAAATTTTGTTTTCAAACAGTYGCCATTTTGTAAAAAAATTTTTTTTCAGCTTGTCCAAAGGTCATACGATAGCGGCATCTATAATAGTTAAGAATCCGTCAGATTTTTATTTTTCCGATCACCAGGASGGTTTGAATCATGCACGCCAGGACACACTCTTTGTTTTTGGACCCCACACTTTGACTGCTCATAACTTTGTCAATTTTTAKTTAAAATTTTTTTTTTTGGTTCATTTTTGTATGTAATAATAAAACATCAATAAACAAAAATGATAAAAAAAAATGGATAGTAATTGTATTTTTTGTTTTCTTTGTAAMAGCGCTTCAAAAACCGGGTGAAATTCATGCCTCTACACTAGAATACCCCCTTAATAATATTAATATAATAATTATTTATAATTAAATATATTAATTTTTAATATAATCGATATATTAATTTTTAACATAAACAAAATAAATATACTAATAATTAATTTATAAATAAATACCTCAGCACAAAATTCCTTGCTTTTTGATGGTTCGTACATTTCACAAATTATATCTCCGGTATCCATAGCATGTAATTGAAAAAAACAAAACAAATTGGAATATAAAATAAATATGAAATTGTTTATCGAAAATATTTCATTACAATTTACGTATTATAAAAAAAAAAAAAACAATAACACAAAAAAATATTTAATATTTAATAAACATACCTCAGTTGCCGTATCATCGCACACGTGACTTATTAAAATAATTTTCAACCATAAATATATCAACCAAAATGMAAAACTCAATAAAAATAATTTTGGCAAATGAAAATTTTTTGTCATTATATAATAATACAAATTGTAAACGGTCGATACGATTATTAAAAAAATAATTGAAATTGACAATAACGTTTGATAACTGTATGCATCATTTATAGTTTTAGMACATTTGATTAATTCTAAATGTATTTCTCTAAAATCAACAAAATAATAAAATAATTATTAATATAATATAACAAATGAATATTTAGAATAATGATTAAAATCTTATAATAAATTAATTACCTTATTTGTTTCAACTTATTAACTTCTTGATTAGATTTATACTTTCGATAAATACCAGATGACATAAAATCACTATTATTATAATTATTATTATTATTATTGTTATTGATTTTGTTAAACATGCGAAAAACTCTGTTATGTTGTGGCGAATCAATAGTTGTAGTTAACATACTTTTTAATAATATGTTCAATTCGTTAAATTTTTTTTTCATGTACCTATGTTTAAAAATGTCATTTTACTTTTAAATGTAATTTAACAAACATTTTATTTTATTAGGGTGAATCAAAAGTTTCTATGTTTTTTTAAATTAAAATTAAATAATTTAAATATTTTAATATTTAATAAATTGAATATCTAATATAATTAATTATTTTTATTTTCATTATTATAGAATCATAGTAATTAAAATAAATATTGTAAGTATATTTTTATTATAATTTAATTAAATATTAAATATTATATATCGTTATTTATTTTAATTAAATTTATTTTATATAAATATTTAATTTAATAGTAAATTATTATTTAAATATAAAATTTTATTAAATATAAAAAATCGTATTTAAATATTATAAAATTTTATAAAATATAAAAAATTGTAATTAAATATTATAAAATTTTATAAAATATAAAAAATTGTATTTAAATATAAAATTTTAATAAATATAAAAAATTGTATTTAAATATATAATTATTTTATTTTTAATTAAATATTAAATATTTAATAAATTTAATACTACGTAAATTTATTATTATATATGTTGTATAAAATTAATACATTGTAAATATTAATTTTATATAAATTTATTATATAAATATTAAAATTAATATAAATTAATTTATTGAATAACACAAAAGTTAAATTATTATTGCATTATGCAATAATAATAAATTTTATTATTATTACTATACAATTTATAAGATAATTTATTACACAACAAAACACACGCACGAACTTTTGATTCAACCTAATATTTTATTTTATTTTATTTTTTATTTTTAATGAAATTAATTAAAACAATTTACTTGCCTTATCCAATATAAGAAAGTAGAATCAGCAACTAATGAAATGATAGTAGGATAACGATTTAAAACATGTGTAACAAGTGTTTCAATATTAATACTTTTATAAAATTTTAGCCAATGATAATCAATGATATATATAGTTATTACAAGGATAACAAATAATATACTCAAATAACACTGTTGCCGAAAATGTTGAGAGTATTTGTTCGTTATATTAAGTTGATCCATTCGTTTTATACACGTTTCTAATTGCAACATGAAACATCTGACCTTCTAAATAATATTTAAAAAAAATAATATAATTAATAATATTTAACCCTTAAAGTGCACACACTGGGTGTTTGACACCCCAACCAATTTTTGATCTCTCGAAAACGAAATACTGAATTCGAAAAAATGGGTTATTTGTCTAGTGCCATCTAGTGTTAATTTAGATGGGTATAAAAACTATTCTATTTTAAAAAAGATATAAAAAACTACTTTTGAAAAAAATTGCGAGGTTTAAATATTAAAATAGCAGCTTCAGGAGACGCGTTCAAACACGTTGGGGTGTCAAACACCCACAGTGCACTTTAACTAACTTTTACCAAGTGTGCAGTGCACTTTAAGGGTTAAAATAAAAAAAATTGCAATTGTGGAATATAAAAAATAATTGGAAGTAAAAATATATTATTCACCTTTCTTCTTAGAATTCCAATAACCATGATGGAAATTAAATGTACGTAATTGGAATAAGTGTATAAATATTGGACCATTTTTAATAAAAAAATTTTCGAAAACTCGTCCATATCTATTGCTCCATCAAATATTTTGTATGAGGTTATGTAAAAAATGATTACACAACATGCATAAATTATACCGAGTAGGTTTATTTTATAATCAGTGAAATATTCAACCAAACCGGTTGTAAAAATCGAATTGATTATTATCAATGGTTTAATACTACGTCGAAATTCTTCCGATATTAACATGTTTTTTTTTTTTTTTAGTAAATAATTTTCTAAATGTTGTAAATATTTTGTTGTTGTTGTTGTTGTTGTTGAAAACACTAATTTATTTTAAACAAAAAAAAAAAAAAGGATTTAATATTCACAGACTTTTGGTGGTAACAAAAAAAAAAATGAAAGTAAAAAATGATGAATATTTATAATAATTTTAAACAATCAATTAGCGAACAAAAATAAACAAATTTGAAATTCACAGATTGTTGAGAGAGAGAGAGAGAAAAAAAAAGGATGTAATATTCTTCGTTAAATTGTATGATGTTACACTTATGCCAGCTCATAACACATTACTTTGCAGTATTGTAGTTGGAAAAAGAATGAAAACTACTTTTCATCATTGTATTGTTTTCTTTTTTCTTTTCTTTTTTTTTTTATCTATTGTGTTCGATTAAAGGCACTTTACATTTATTAACTTATTATTATGTATAAAATAATTAATTATTTATTATTGATTTAATTGATGTTTCTTTTCTTTTCTTTTAGAAAAACCCATGTGATGACAAATAATAAAAACAAAATTAACTTAATCAATATAATAAACATTATAACAAAAGTTAAATGAATAATATATTAATACAAAATTAATTAATACATATATAAATATAATATAATATAAATAATATATAATTAATATATTATAATATTATAATTATATAATAATAAAATAATATAATAATAATCTTATAATATATATAAATTACGTGTCACGTTGTTTGTCCGCAATGGACTCCTAAACTACTGAATCGATTTTAATCAAATTTTGCACACTATGTACAGTTTCATCCAACTTGAAAGATAGGATAGTTTATATCTTAATTTATAATCGAATTATTTGTTTATTAACAAAGAGTCATGATTATCTCTGTTAGTTCGATAAGATTCTAACAGATAGTGGTATAAGGTAATTCGTTGTAGAGACCCTGTAGGAGGGACGCGCCATACATATTGCTGGGGTTGCGACTGGCTGAAAATTTTGGGGGACAGCTTCCGATGCAACGAGCAGCCATGTTTTTTTCTTTAGTATGTATAAATAACGGCTGTGGTTCGTTATGAGGATATAATATCCAAGAATCCTAGCTGATTTATTAATATTGGAAATTAAAAACAAATTGTACGAATGATTAAAATAATTGTAAATATAATATATATATATATATATATAGTAGATAATTGTATTTATCAAAATTGTATTAATTCTTACAAGGTGTTTTTGAAATTTCAAAATACTGTAATGCCTTTTGTCAAATCAAACTTAATTGAATCTTTCTTTTTGAATTTATAATAATTTTTATTGTATAACCTATTCTATTTTAATTATAAATTTTTTAATTATCATTAAATATGGTTCACTTTTTTCTCTGTATTTGATGCAACTCATTATTTCATAATTTTTTCAAACCAATTCACCACTCTACCCCCTACAACTATTCACTATTACTATATACAACTTTTATACTATTTAAAATGTTTGATTCATTCGCGCGCAATCACGTGACTACATAAGTTCCTGTCCCCCAAAATTCTTTGGCGCGTCCCTCTTACAGGGTTCCTAATTCGGGGACTTAATAGACGTATGTATTGGACTGATTGTGAGCCACAGCAACGCCTGGTATGGCACCCCTAGTATAATATATAATAATAATAATATATATAATAATAAAATAATATAATAATAAATAAATATAATAATATAAATTAATAATGCATATAAGATGAATAATAACATATTAATACAAAATTATCTAAGATTTTAAGTAAAATTTATTATAATATAAAGTTTAATATAAATATTTATGGGATTCCCATATTAAAACTTATGATTTGTTCATTTTTAACATTCGTTCATAGTTCTTTTTTTATCTTTTTTTTTTTTTAAGGGTCACAACGTTGAATTATTATTTTTGTTTTTAAAACTAATCTTAGGTTTCTCACCAACTTGAATAAGAATAATAAGATATGTTGTAATCGAACCAATTGCCTAAAATCAATTATACAATATTTTTATTAAAATTTTTTAAAATTAATATATAAAAAGAATAATAAATTAAAATGTTTATAAATATTTTTAACTTACTCTGTATATAAATGTATGATCCAAATTGTAAAATTTGCAAGCGGTAAAGGTCAAACGATTATTGACAAGTTGAAATATAAAATCAAGTATCTGAAAGTTATTAAAAATTTCATACATATATATAAATAAATAAATAAATAAATAAATAAATAAATAAATAAATAAAATATTATTTATTTTAATACGCGAAAGAAGTAACAAATAAATTGTTGTTCTCACTTCGTCACGAAATTTTTTACTTGCCGCAGGTTCGTACAATTCGCAAAGTATGTCTCCAGTATTCGCGGCATATTTAAAAAAAAAAAAAAACAATAAACAAATTAGTATATACAAATATATATGCATTTAAAATGATTCATAATTTAAAAAAAAAAACAAACAAATTCTAATTGTTTTATAAGAACATACTTCTGTAATTGTAGTCTCGCAGACGTTATTTATTGCACAAATCTTGAGTAAAAAATACATTATCCAATAAAAATTTGCCAAATATTGTAAATAATCTTCTTCATTTTTAATAAGTACTGTTGCATAAAATACATATGACATAGTTATGAGAAATAGCACAGATGAAGTTATTGATATTAATATTTGTAATCCATAAATATCGTTTAATACTTGTGCACATTTGATCAATTCTAAATGTATTCGTCTTTAATTCAAAAAAGAAATCAACTAAATTAGAATAATATTATAATAAATATAATAATGAATAATATTACATAATTAAATAATAATAAATATTAATAATGAAAACTAATAATATGAATGATATTATAGAATAGTAATAATAATAATAATAATAATAAATTTAAAATTAAATTGAGTAAGCTATGACTTACTTTATTTTTCTTAATTTGATATAATTTTCATTAGTTTTGTATGTACGATAAATAATAGATAACGAAGAATCATCTTCCCAATTATCTTTCATTCGAAATATTCTTTTATGTTGTGGTGAATCAATAGTTGTTGGTAACATACTTTCAAGCATACTATTTAATTGAATAATTCTCATCTTTATGTACCTTTGTAAAATGATTGAACATTTAAAATAAATATTTACTATATATATATATATATATAAATATATAATATACAGGGTCATTTGTAACTGGTGGTATAAGCGAAAAGGGGATGGGATGATTCTACATGAAAAAATTAAGTAAAAATATAGGATAAATATTTTAAGTTTATGGCTTTATTTTCGAGAAAATCGACTTTGAATTTTCGTAAAGTACGCGTGCACTTAATCATGTCTCATTATAACAGACCTACGAACTTTTCATAGAAGAATAACCTATATACATGTAATAGGGTATTTCCGAGGAGTTCGTAGGGTATTTCCGAAGAGTTCGTAGGGTATTTCCGAAGAATTCGTAGGGTATTTCCGAAAAGTTCGTAGGGTATTTCCGAAAGTCGAGTATAATAAAGTATAGTCGAGTATAAAAGAGTATAGTCAAGAATAGTCGAGTATAATAGAGTATAGTCGAGTATAGTTGAGTGAAATAGAGTATGGTCGAGTATAGTCGAGTAAAATACAGTATAGTCGAGTATAGACAAGTATAATAGAGTATAGTCAAGTATAGTTGGGTATAATAAAGTATAGTCGAGCATAGTCGAGTAGAATACAGTATAGTCGAGTATAGTCAAGTATAGTCGAGTATAATAGAGTATAATAGAGTATAGTCGAGTATAGTCGAGTATAATAGAGTATAGTCGAGTATAGACGAGTACAATAATGTATAGACGAGTATAAACGAGTATAATAGAGTATAGTCGAGTAGAATACAGTATAGTCGAGTATAGACGAGTATAGACGAGTATAATAGAGTATAGTCAAGTATAGTCGAGTATAATAGAGTATAGTCGAGTAGAATACAGTACAGTCGAGTATAGACGAGTNTTAATGTTTTACTGTAAAACTATGAATGTTCACAAAATTACGTTGCTTGCTACCATTTATAATATTTTATTACATTAGTATTGATAATTATTATTATGTTAATGTTGGGAAGTGTTAAGAATTTTTTTTATATCTGTTTAGGTTTATTATTCATTTGTTGACAGACAGACGAGTCCCACTTACGGGTATTACATTTTTATCAAATATAAATGAATAAAAACACACTTAGGACAAATGTTGTCTCTCTATTTTTCTTATCTATTTAATTTTGTTATTTTTTACTATCATTTTTATATATATAAATAATATTTAATATTAAAAATGTTGGAATTTAATATATTGCAATATTATGAGATAACTTTATAAGATATTATTTTCACTTTATCTTTTAATTTATTATTATAGTTACTCATTTATTATGCATATAAATTTTCTTTATTTTTTTTTTATATTTAAATGACAGATGAATTTTTTATTGATAATGTTGAATTTTGATTAAAAGTATTAGACGGTACATTACCAATTTGTATGAGAATAACGATATAAGTTGCGACGATATTAATTATCTAAAAAAATTAATAAAATAATAAATATAAGTTTATTTTATAATAAATTATAAAAAAATTAGAATATTTGTAACTTACGTTCCTTATCAATGAATGGTCGAGATTAAAAAAACCACAGCTGGTAAATGACAATGGGTTTTGTAARAGTTGTAAAGTAAAATCAAATATCTAAAATTAAACATTAAATTTCATTAAATATTAATAATAATAATAAGAATAATAATAATTTCATTAAAAAAAATAAAAATAATTAAAATACCTCATCACGAAATTCCTTACTGGTTGAGGGTTCGTACAACTCACATAAAATATCTCCGGTATTCATAGCATGTAAACAAWAAATTAATAAATAAAYAAAAAAMKATTTCAATCAAATAAAAAATAWACAAATAAWWTAATAAAATTAATAATACTTCTGTTATAGTTGTTGCAAATRCATCACTTATGACGATCAATTTARATCCGAATARAAATAACSAATAAATGTATACATTAAGACGATGATAATCTTTTGCTAGAATGTTGTTGTATAAAATATATACCGATGWAATAAATATTACGAAGGATATAGTAACGGATAATAAAATATGTAATCCGTATGCATCATTAATATTTCTAGCACATTTAATTAATTCCAGGTGTATTTCCCTTTAATTGAAACATAAAATTATATTATGTATTTTATATATATATAATATAATTATATTAATTTATTTTAATAATATAAATATTTAATATAATAAATTTAATAACTTTATTAAAATTACATAGATATAAATTAAATTTTTTATAAATATTTATTTTTTACATTATTAATAATTATAATAATATAAATATTATATATAATTTAATTTAATCAAATTTAACATTAATTTATTTCTTTAATTCAATATTAAATTATCAATAATAATTATTTTTTTATTAATTAATACTATCATAGGATAATATAATAATATTATATGAATTATATATTTTTTATTATATTTTTTTTAAGACTGGCATGATTCGAACCTGTGATTATCGCGGTTACGAATCGAGGACTCTAGCACAGAGCCACGAACAATTTTTAATTGATTTTTCTTGTTTTTATGTTACAAATAATAAATACAATCGTTAAACAATATTATACAAAATAATAATTACCTTATTTTTTGAATCTTCAAAACCTTATCATTAAATTCATTCGTTTGATTAGTATCATTCATATTATTATTTATCATTTGAAATACTTTTTTATGTTGTGGTGAATTAATCGTACTAGTTAACATGTTTTTTAATAATACGTTCAATTCTTTAAATTTWATCTTTATYAATCTGTTTAAAATAAAATRACAAATATTTTTAATMATTTATTTATAACAATTTTTAGATAAAATTATTATTGATATTATTATTACCTCATCCAAAATACAATCGTAARATCGACAATTAAAAATACTATAAGTGGAAAACGTTCAATGTAAAATGCAATAGCAATTGTAAARTAATTATCACTAACTAATATCAACCATGGATAATCGAAAATAATTATTAATATTATCAATATAATTATTAATAAAATAATGTAACATTGTTGCCAATAATATTTGGATAAATTCATTGGTACGTTTAATTTATTCATTGCACGAATACAATTTTCTATTTGCCACAAGAAACGTCTTACTTTCTGTAATAAACATAAAAAAAAAGAAATTAACGTAAAATAATTTAATTAATATAGAAATAATGAAAATCTAAAATTTTACCTTTCTTCTAAAAATTCCAACAACGATTGAAGCAACTTGAATAAAATAATCGCAATAAATGTATATTAATATTGTTACATGTCTAATAACCGTTCCTTTCCAAGWATTTGTTGTTATTGGAAATGAATAAATGTTAATTATAATAATATATATTATAACAGATAAACAGGCATGAATCCAACCGATTATATTTATTTTATCATTTACGTAATATTCGATCAAACCGGTTGCAAAAATTGAATTTAATGTCACCAATGGTTTTATGTTACTTTGCAATTCTTCCGATATAAACATTTTGTGGTTTTTTTTTTTTTTATTTTAATATTGTTTATTAAAGAAGAAGAACAAAATTTCTATTCAATTTTTTTTTTAATTTTATTTTATTGAATTGAATGGAATTGAATTGAACTCATTTGATTTTAATTTTATTTTTTTTTATCTTATGGGTTTTTATTTAATTTTATTTAAAATTATTTTTTTTTAATTTTTTTTAATTTTATTTCTATTTTATTTTAATTATATTTAATTTTATTTAATTTCTATTTTATTTTTTGTATTATTTTATTTTATATCGCTGATAAAAATATGAAACAACAAAATTGTGTGTTTTTTTTTTTTTTTTTTTTTTAATAATCACCAATCAGTATAAAAAACTTTGTTTTTTTGTTACTTATAGTTTTTTTTTCGTGAAAAACATATATGTATATGCAAATTGAGAACGTTCATTGGTGAGTTTAGATGTGACACTAAAGACAGTTCATTATTATACAACTTCCATTAGATCTTATTACGTTAATAG